ATATATATATATATATATATAAAAAAAAGATGAAACAGCACAATGCGCGTCAGGAAAAACTTTTAGTGTTAAATTAATACAACAGGCAGAAAAAAAAGAGCACACCTGAAAGTCGTCCCTCAAAATCTCTTTGCCTCTCTCCCCTTGCAATCGTCGCTAATAACCTTGGTTCTCAGACGGTTTATGGCACCACACTGCAATTGCCCAAATGCTCCAGACACAGACAGCTTTTATGGTCGTGTTGCTGAAGCAACAAGGCGGATGTCCCCGTAATTAGGTGGATATTGCTCAGCGCCTCAAAGGATGCGCCAGCCAGGCCAAGTCGCTCCGCAGCAAGCAACCATAAAGCTCAGACTTTCTCTCCCCCTCTCTTCTACTTTCTTTCTCTCTCTTCTTCTTACTCTCCCTCTGTCTTAGTTTATTGCTCTTAGGCTGTCATATATGAACACTACGAGTACGGCCATACACATTCAGATGATAACTGCAAATACTGTAACCACTGTGACGGTAAAACTGTCAGGCAACAGCTTCATCTCATGGCCCGAGAGAGTTCTAGAAAAAAAGAAGAAAAACAAAACAACATTGCTGTTTATAAATGCACATAATGCGCATGTGTACACTCATGCATAATATATTTGAAAAGAAAACGGTGTACTGCAAATATGCGTTATACCCATTTGATTATTTAATTTAGGAAATATATGCCATACAGATTTTCTGGATTACAATAAAACAAACCCTATTTTAATCCCAGGACAATGTTCATAGAGATGCAGAGTAGAACATGGGCAAATAAGGTAATCGTGAAAACGTTATTTCTTAAGCCTGAAAGAGTCCACTTCTTAAAGATTTCCAATTCCGAGTCCTGAAATGTTTATGATTGGGGATGCGATTCAGCGAGATTGCATGTTCTCCGTTCAGTCAAGTTCACTGTCTGTTTTATTTCTGTGTTCACAGAGTTTGCAGGAAGTGAAAACTTTGAATGATCAGAATATACGCAGTTGCTTGTAATGAGTCGTTTACTTTCACGAGAGACGGCGAATAAAGTGTTATTTGGTGGCAAATCAAATAAATAATTCGGAAACTGGGAGCAGTCAATCTAACATTTTAGCTGTTATTTTATATATTTATATATTTGGTCACACCAATGTCATTAGGCCAACCTGTTCAACATTCCTTCCCAATTTAACACGCCATTCAAATGGCTTGTCAAAAGCCTTTCCTTGTTTAAACCCAAATATTTCAGCCAGTTGTACTCAATCTCAGCGTGTAGTTCATCACAACTGCAAACAGAGTAGTCCATGTTCAGTGTTTATCACTAGCTCTTAATTAAATCATTTCTGTTCGCCACAAAATTGCATACGTTTATCTATTACGAGCACAAAACAACCCGTATTTAAACTGTGAATTTCAATGTCCTGTATGGTCTCTGTAATTGTATACAAGTGAATGGTGCCTTGTCTCGAACTTGAAGTTAACCGCTGAGAGTCTGTATAAGGTCTCGAGAGTGATCTTATTACTGCAGCTGTTATATGTTTGTATCTGTTATTTCCTTGCCCTAAAGCAGTGCGTTGGTACTGTAGTACTGTAATCGGTCCCTATTTAGTTTCTTTTCCTTCATCCGCCTGTTCTGGAACCAAATTTTCACTTGGCGATCGGTGAGGTTAAGCATCCGTGAGAGCTGAAGTCGTTTCTCTTTGTTAATGTACACGCTGAAGAAAAATTCCCTCTCGAGCTCCCGGATTTGAAATTTTGTATAGGGACATCTCTTCTTGCGAACCCTGGGTCCACCTAAGAGAAAATTACCAATAAACAAATAATCGTCATTATTATGAATAGATTCATAGATTCTGAAAGATAATATAAAAATAAGTTAAAGAAGTTAGTACATACAGTACACGTAATAGCCTATCTATCTATCTATCTATCTATCTATCTATCTATCTATCTATCTATCTATCTATCTATCTATCTATCTATCTATCTATCTATCTATATATTATTGTTAAGGTTAATAAATACAAAGACAATAAATCTAAATCTACAGTTTTATTTAGGCTACAAACTTCTGTCTAAAGGATTGTAAAAAAACAAACAAATTTTTTTTTACTAGCATATAATAGCCTATTTTTACTTTTTCAACAAACGGAAAAATCATGCATTAGAAATACTGGTGCTTGTTACTCTGACTGTTGTAAACAATCCTGTGAAATCACTGCGGTCACTAAAACACATTTTAAAGTTCAAGTTAAAAATGCGCTAGCTTTGAGTCTTTTCATGGCCAATTTCAATTCCAAACACGTGATTCTCACAGTTTATAAGTAGCCTAGGTTTTGTTGGGGAAATCTCAGGCCCTCCATAAACCTTATACGCTTATAAAACAGCATATAAAAATGTTAACAGGAGCGCGCAAGATTGCAAACTTTCTCGCATGACAGTCTCGTTGAGCTCGTACTTACTGCTCGTACCGCTGGTCTTTTCCTCGTTGTTTCCTGAAGAAGATTCGGGGCTACTGGTCTCCTGTCGCTCCTTTCCTTCGCACTCCTGCTCCGGTGCGGGCGCTGGCGTAGGCTGTTTGCTGAAGTGCATTTTATCCCTCGCTGCATAGTCGCTGTTTGCTACACTGTCCGAGCCCCTGCAGGCAGTGTCAAAAAACTGGTCAAATGCTTGAGGAAGCACCCCGTTTCTTCCAACACTACCGTAGAAATTGGACGCGGAGGTCGAGTTCGATGAGTGATAATACGCAGATGCATTATTCTTGGGGAACATTTCACCAACTGTCGTTGCCGCTGGTAAACACTCCCGGTGTACTATGTCCTCCGATGGATAACAGTGAGCCAGTGGACCCCGGTGAGGCCATTTACCGGACGCGTCAATAGCATAGTCCCGGAATGTAACCTCCCTGACATGCTGTACCTGAGGCAGGTTAGAGGAGTAAGAGTAGGTGACGGGACGAGAAGACGGACTTTGGGATAAGAAAGAGGGCAACGTGGAGAAATCAGCCCCCGGAACGTAATACGTGCAGCTGGGCAGATACATGTTGGAGCCAACGGAAACTCTCTCGTCAAAATCCATCATTGTACCCGCGCAGCTTCTAGCTTGGGCTAGCGAGACCTATACGCAACGCCCACAACATAGCTCTCATGTGCGCTTCCCTCTTACCCGAGTTGTAGGGGTATCCGCGAAGCAGAAATGTTGAGACGTAAGATGACGTGGAAATCCATCTCTGTCCAGTCCAACTGAGGCCAGGGTCACGTGATCTAGAAAAGACATTGACATATCCTCGCTCACTTGTTCTGTTTGTATATTGACAATGAAAGCCAATTAATGACAGATCCAAACTGTGCAACAAAGTCCAGACTGAATTACGAATTAATTTCGAATAAGTTTGCGAATATTAGTTTGTGAAGATTAAAACACTCAGTTGAACATAAATAAATTGGATCGTGTTCGATCGACTGGGATGTTTAAATATCCTATTTTAAACTGACAAACAGACGTTATGAAATGAAATAAAATATATATATAGGTCTATAGCTTATAGGCCAATATATATATATATATATACAAAGTCTTGCCAAAATACTGTAATCTATTCTTAGAAGTATATAAGTCAAGAACACAGTGTTTGTGACTTAACAATGAATGCGAGCGATCAATACGGTCTATCATATCACAAACGGCATCAAAACGAAGAAATTTAGTGTTTTGATATAAAGGCTGCGAGAAACGTGTTCTGCAATCTGCAATCTGTTCTGGCTTCTGCAATCAAGACTTCCTATAAAACAAAACATTCAAGAATATATGCACTATACCTTACAGTCTTTCAGTCTTACATCTTACAATTTTGTCATTATATTTGACACAAAATGCCAGGAGTATGATGATTAATGATTATGCTTGTAAATCAGAACACATGATTACTCATAATAATTATAGAACATTGACTCTGTTCAAATTTTGCAATACAAAATCATTCCAAGTTGAATTCATGTGAAAAGACAAACGAACTAGAAAGTATTTATCACCGTTTCATTTAGGTCTACTGAATAAATGGCACATTATGTGGACTTACCTAACATTGCCCAATTTTATATTACACAGTTCTGGCAACTACATTTTCAGAACCTTGTAAAAAAAATAAAATAATAATAATATATATATATATATATATATATATATATACATATATGCAATAATTACTTTTTTTCACGTGTATATGCCATATCACGTGTATGCCATTTTGTCTCGGCAGCTGTTTAAGAAGGCTACTATAGAAAACCTTTGAAAAGTACGAGAATAAAAGAGTTTAACCGTGGTTCTTAAACCTGGATTAGGCCGGTAAAGGCCTCACTTTTCCACAACCCACAACCCTTAATCCCTTTGCACCATATGCCTCCGAGGAACGCACAGGGAGGTGAGTAACATGAGCCTCATTTAGTGCAACTTTCATAATGTTTGCAAGGTGTGATTGTCGGACATTTTAAGATATTCTGATTCTTTACCAGTAATAGGTTCTCCACGGTAGCAGAATGACACAAACACAAAATCGGTGGCCCCGAGACAAGACGCTCCGCCTCTTCGTCAACTCAAGACAAAATCGCGCCGTGTGCTGGAAAGCTTTCAGCAGTAATTTGGGGCCCAAGTACAACGGAAACCTGCGATGGGTACCTGGAAAGCAGAGATTTTAACGCAATTTGTAGAGTTTACATAATGCGAAGCCCTTTTACTCTCTTTTTAACACAACAGAGTGAGACTGCTCAACCATGGAGAGGTAGCGCAAGATGCAGTTAAAGACAACAATTTCTCTGTAACAACAGATTCAGAATAAAGTAAGATTAGTTTAGACAAAATAATAATTATAATAAATAGGAACATGGATTAAAATAATAACAATATAGTAATAATAGGATAATGCCATATGAACATAAATATATCCAACCACCTTTATGTTATGCAAAGTAAGAGATTGCATCATATAACCTATATATATCGGTATGTTATAATCTCAATTCGGGTTTTTTTTTTTTGTCATCCACAGTGTATCTATGTCTAATCTGGCATTGCGTCCTGCACCCCCTCCCTAAGGGTTACCTTCAAGTACTTCAAGTTCGGGGAGGGGGACGGGCTACCGCCCACCGCGCAAGTCTGAAAAAGAGAATGAACAACAAACGCCACGCAAGCCACTCTATGCCCCGGATGGAGTTTCATAAAATTCGCTTTCACATCAGGGAACTTTACAAAGGAACGACACAGAGCAATATAATGCGACAAGTAGGGAAAACAGGCACTTGGGAAAAAAAACGAATGAAACCTCCCATCAACATATTATACATAGTCTTACACACGCCACAAATTACAAATAGGCTAGCCTATATCACGCACAGCAACATGTCGTTTTCAAATAACCGGTAAATATATAAGGTGAATAACTAGTGTGAAGCTAAATAATATTTAATTTGTTCAAAAATCATGTTTTTGCAGCCAAACTGTTTGTATGTGAAACAATGTCCGTTCACCACGTGAATATAACTTTAGGTACGACTAAACTATGTCTGTTGTATTCTAGAAAGCCCATCAAAATCTCTGCCAAATATGGCAGGAGCAAGCCTGTCACAAATGTGTTGCTCATGCACAACAGAACAGTTAAATCTATTTGTTTGGAACCCTGTATTAAACATGTTTGGACATGTTTGGGAATTAATCGACAACTATTACAGTCACAAATTAGATTACAAATGATATGAAGTGAAATGTATTTGTTGAAATACGTGCAGCTATAACGACACTTTAAAATTACACTTCCATTTTTTAAAACGATGATTAAATACAACAGTGTAACGTACACAGTAATTAACAACAACAATGATAATAAAATAAATCATGTTTGTTGGCGTCAATAATTTAGCGTTTGTTTTCTTTGTTAAGTCCAAAGAGGATAAAACGAGAAAAAAAACGCACACCAATTGACAACGTGTGCAGCACCCCCCCCCCCCCCATAAATAAAATATTTACACACTCAATAAAATTTTTTTTTTA